AGGTGCTTGGGATCAGTGAAACACATTGAACGCAAGTTGGACAACAACGACTAACTTCAGGGGAGCTTCTGTTATACTCCGGCCATGAAGAAGAAAATGCTCCACATACACATGGAGTTGCATTGATGCTGTCCAAACAAGCACAAAATGCACTTATATGATGGGAATACCATGGACCAAGGATCATCAAAGCCTCATTCAAAACAAAGAAAGAGGGCATTTCAATGAACATAATCCAATGCTATGCGCCTACCAACGACTACAATGAAGACGTTAAAGATCAATTTCACGATAGACTGCAATCAAATGTCGAGAAGTGCCCAACAAAGGACCTGACCATTCTGATGGGAGATTTCAATGCCAAGGCTGGAATGGAGAACACCAGATATGAAAATATGGGACGACACGAACTTGGAGAAAGGAACGAAAATGGTGAGAGATTTGCAAGCCTATGTGCCTTCAATAAACTGGTCATAGGCGGCGCCATATTCCCACATAAACGCATACACAAAACCACATGGAGTTCACCGGATCACACCACAAAAAACCAGATCGACCATATATGCATCAACAAAAAGTTCAGGAGGATGATGGAAGATGTGAGAACCAAGAGAAGACCTGATAGAGCAACATATCATCACTTGCTGGTCGCCAAGATCCAATTGAAACTCAAGAAGCACTGGACAATGGGGCGGGAAATATCACGAAAGTTCAATACGGCCTTTCTTCGGGATACTAACAAACTCAACAAATTCAAGATAGACCTCAGCAACAAGTTCCAGGCCTTTCACGATTTACTCAATGGAGAAGGAACTACTGTGGAGAGCGACTGGAAAGGGATAGAGGAGGCAATTACTTCAACATATCATGAGGTTCTGGGCCCTAAGAAGCACCACGACAAGCAATAGATCGCTGTTGATACACTGGATAAGATTCAAGAAAGGAGGAACAAGAAAGCAGCAATCAATACCAGTCGAACAAGAGCAGAAAAAGCCAAGGCAAAAGCTAAATACACAGAAGTAAACAAACAAGTGAAGAGGAGCATCAGAACCGAAAAACGTAAATATGTGGAAGATTTATCAACAACGGCGGAAAAGGCTTCAAGAGAAGGAAACATGAGACAACTGTATGACACGACAAAGAAACTCTCTGAAAATCGCCTCAAACCAGAACGACCAGTGAAAAGCAAGGAAGGCGAGGTAATCACCAACATTGAAGAGCAACAAAACAGGTGGGTAGAACACTTCAAAGAACTCTTGAATCGACCATCTCCACTGACCTCACCCAACATCAAAGCAGCACCCACGGACCTCTCAATCGATGTTGGCCCGCCAACAATTGAAGAAATCAGCATGGCCATCAGACAAATCAAGAGTGGCAAAGCAGCAGGACCGGACAACATTCCAACAGAGGCACTAAAAGCAAACGTAGCGGCAACTGTAACGATACTCCACATTCTCTTCACTAAAATTTGGGACGAGGAACAAATACCAAAAGACTGGAAAGAAGGACTCCTGATCAAAATACCGAAGGAAGGCGATCTCAGCAAGTGTGATAACAACAGGGGCATCACTCTTCTCTCAATACCAGGAAAAGTCTTCAACAGGATATTGTTAAACAGGATGAAGGACTGCGTAGACGCCTAACTTCGTGACCAACAGGCAGGATTCCGTAAGGATAGATCGTGTACAGACCAAATCGCAACTCTACGGATCATTGTGGAACAATCAATTGAATGGAATTCATCACTCTACATGAACTTCAGTGACTACGAAAAGGCATTTGATAGCGTGGACAGAACAACATTATGGAAACTTCTTCGACACTACGGCGTGCCTCAGAAGATAGTCAATATCATACAGAGTTCATATGATGGATTACACTGCAAAATCGTGCATGGAGGACAGCTGACAAAGTCGTTCGAAGTGAAGACCAGTGTTAGGCAAGGTTGCTTACTCTCACCCTTCCTCTTTCTCCTGGTGATCGACTGGATCATGGAGACGTCAACATCTGAAGGGAAGCACGGGATACAATGGACATCTAGGATGCAGTTGGACGATCTAGACTTCGCAGATGATCTAGCCCTTCTATCCTAAACGCAACAACAAATGCAGGAGAAGACGAACAGTGTGGCAGCAGCAGCAGCAGTAGGTTTCAATATACACAAAGGTTAAAGCAGGATTCTCCGATACAACACAGCATGCACCAATCCAATCACAATTGACGAAGAAGATTTGGAAGATGTAAAAACCTTTACATATTTGGGCAGCATCATTGATGAACAGGGTGGATCTGATGCAGATGTAAAGGCGCGGATCGGCAAAGCAAGAGCAGCATATTTACAACTGAGGAACATCTGGAACTCAAAGCAACTGTCAACCAACACGAAGGTCAGGATTTTCAATATAAATGTCAAGACAGTTCTACTGTACGGGGCGGAAACCTGGAGAACTACGAAAGCCATCATCCAGAAAATACAGGTGTTTATTAACAGTTGTCTACGCAAAATACTTCAGATCCGTTGGCCAGACACTATTAGCAACAACGTACTGTGGGAGAGAACAAACCAGATCCCAGCGGAGGAAGAAATCAGAAAGAAGCGCTGGAAGTGGATAGGACACACATTGAGGAAAGCACCCAACTGCGTCACAAGACAAGCCCACACATGGAATCCTCAAGGCCAAAGGAAAAGAGTAAGACCAAAGAACACATTACGCCGGGAAATGGAAATAGACATGAGAAAAATGAACAAGAATTGGATGGAACTAGAAAAGGCCCAGGACAGAGTGTGTTGGAGAATACTGGTCAGCGGCCTATGCTCCATCGGGAGTAACAGGCGTAAGTAAGTAAGGTTTTAGAACACAGGAATGCTTATCGGCGTCCGACAATTATAGTTTTTCTTGACTTAAAAGCAGCATTTGACTCTGTAGACCGAGAGGTTCTATGACAGTGTCTGTCATTGAAGGTGTACCTCAGGAGTACATAAACCTAGTGGGAGCTCTTCACTCAAACACCACCAGTCTAGTCAGAGATTATGGCGAACTGTTATCTGATTTTGCACCTTCAAGTGGTATCCGGCAAGGCTGTCCATTATCTCGATTTTTGTTGAATCCCACCATAAACTTCCTGCCGGAAAAAACTTTCTCGTCGACTGAATTTTTGGGGATTAGTCTCCTATTACGAGGTCCACTCATCGGCTTAGAATACGCAGACGACAGTCTTGTTTGATGAAGACGCTGATAAAATGCAATATTTTGGTAGCAGTGAGCAGCAATGTCAGGATGTCTGGGATGCGTTTCTCCCCCTCTAAATGAAGGTTGTTTCTTCAGGACTGGTCTGCGTCAACAAGTCGACAACGTTACTTTTCTTAGAAGTCTGATCAGCCCCAATGGGTCGGTGTCTGACGAAATCTCAGCACATATTCAAGAAGCTCATTTGGCTTTTGCCTATGGCGAAGGCAAAATATCCGTCTATCAATTAAAGGACGAGTGTATTATGTGGCAGTTCGTTCTGTTCTACTTCACGCCTGCGATACGTGTCCATTAAGAGTAGAAAATACTCGTAAGCTACTAGTATTTGACCACAGATGCCTTAGAAATATTGCTGGGATCACCGGGTAAGTAGTAATGAGGTTAGACGCAGGCTATTAGGGAATGGTGGTAAATCAGTTGATAAGGTTGTAAATCTTCATCGACCAAGATGGCTGAGCCACGTGTTACGTATGCCTGAACACCGATTACCATAAAACGCAATGCTGGCTAGTGTCGGGGAGGGTTGGGGAGAAAGTTAGGGGTGGCCAAACCAAAACATGGCATCAGTCATTGAAGTCACTAACTTCTGGTCTAAGCCATGTTGGCAGATGCAGACTACGTGGTTGGGGGTTCTGGGTGACATGGCTCAGAATCGATGACAATGGCGTAGGTGTGTACACTCTTTGTCTTCCCTTAAACCATGAGATTAAAATTGCTTTATATATTTCTTTCTACGAACAAATTCTTTCTTCCTGTAATATATCCTCATATACAATCTTTCTTTTTTATATTAGTACCATTGAAGTAACTGATTCTATGGATTTGATGTTCATCTTGTTGTGCTAATGAGGTATGGCAGCTTGGTCCGATGCATACATGTGTCTGGCTCTATGTTGCAATTGACTGACTGAAAAAAACTAGACCAGTAACTCGAACGCCAAGATGAACAAAAACAAGACAACTAGCCAGAATAGGTTTTTACCAAATAAAATAATATGCTTACATACAAAATATTAACACAAAAAACAAACACATCATAAGCGATCGGGAGAAGTCGGTTTTGTCGGTCCCCCAATTTCCAATGAAACAAGAGCTAACTATTACGGTCAATCGTCGTCAATTTTTATTAGCCTGATTTATGGAACAGAAATAAGGTGGGGCGGATTTAAACTCGTGGAAATATGACTGGATTTCGAATGCTCAAACGACTAAACCTAAATAATTGATAATAATTTAGTTTACGAAAAATGTTTATGTTAAGTGATAGAAATAATCCATCCTCCATATATGCCTTAAATCAGAATACAACATAAGAAAATCTCAACACGAAAGTTCATTTCACTGAGACTATCTCTGAACCTCACATTGCACCATTTTTCTGACAGTGGCTGTATACGCGTAGCCATAAGAGAGCATTTTGTGGGGGTGAACTGACTCCCCATCCTCGACAGTACCAAAGCATTTGGAGCCATTGGAGTGGGTAGAACATTAAGTGATAATAACGAAATCTAATCTACATGCCACAACATGACTGGATGAGTGATCATGAAACTTAATTTTCGAATACAAAACATTGGGAGCATATTTGGTGCACTTCATTAAAATTATATAGATGGTCTTTAAAATACACGAAAGTTCATTTTAATCAGACTATCTGTGAATCTCACATTGCATCATTTTTCCCAGATAATTTTAAAGGTTACATACGATTGTCGTAAATGTCACAAAATGATGATCATTACAACTAACCTCCAAAAGCACAACCCTTCCATGTACGGCCAGTTACAAGTTGGAATGGTCGAGTTGAGATTTCTGCCCCAGCCTCCGCTACACCAATTATAACTGAAACACCCCAGCCCTTGTGACACGATTCTAAAGCTTGACGCATGGTAGCTACATTCCCGACACATTCAAAAGAATAATCACAGCCTCCATCAGTTATTTCAACAATAACCTGTGATATAAAAATGACGACAGGGAATAAGTGAAAATAAGCATTTAATTAAATTTCAAACAAGTAATCTCAATAACAAACTGGATTTTCAAACCTAAGAATTTATCTTTCTAGTTTCGCAGTTGAAGGGAAATTGTTGGTCTAAGAAATCTCACCGATTATGATGATTAACATAAGAAATCTACTCATGGTATTACTTAGTGATACAATACTTGATGTCATCAGAAACTGTCCAGTTGTCCAATATTGCCCAACAATGTGAATGAGAAATCGACACAGGTCACCCAAGTTCTAGCGAGGTTGAGGTCATATCTAACATCCAGAGGGGTGCAACAGAACCTAGCAGGTTGACGCCAGAGGTCTTTAAGGATAGTGGTAGTTTTAGCAACTAAGTTGATTGAGACACTAGATACAGTTCGGAAACTTGACGTGACCTCACCAGGATGGTTCCAATAACTGATCGTCCCAGTATACAAGGACCATTGCCCCATCGTAACCACAGGTGAATGAACTTGACTAATATATCTCAAATATTTCTTTCGAAAATCATTCAACTTTACCCGGAACTCATTAACAGCGAAACCAGGTTGGTGTCAAACCAATCGTGGACGTATCGTAAGACTAATCACCATCTCCCAGGTTTTAGAACAAACAATTACTAATGACCTATATGTGTCATTTTTGACCTGAGGTTATCACTACTAACCGTAAACAGTGACCGTCAGAACTGCTCGCTATCCCCCTGTTCTTTACAGATCCCTTACTAAGAAACTCTCTTCACCAAATTAATGAGGTTTTTTGATTGCCAGGTGATTGACTTATCAAACTGCGGTACGCAGATTACGAAGTCCTACTTGGTGGAGACAGTGACACGAAAGTTTCTTTATCACATTGACTTATAACACAAGAATGTTTGCAATGCATTCCTCTACTTCTAAATGGACGTCACTTTAGAACTTGTATTCGCCGTCACCTAGACTAACCACAAGTAGTAAGGTGGTTGGCTGAGTCGACTGCTTTACTTATCTTAGAAATTTCGTCACTCCTAGCGGGTTGATGCCTAACCAAACCTCGGCTGGCTCTAGCCTAAATACGTCACTTGCAGTATAGAAAAGACTTCTGTTTCGGGATGTTTATGAATTAACGTGAATAAATTATACTGTAGAATAAATTCCACAATGAAGATAAGTGAACTGTAAAACTTTGTTTTGATTACTGAGAATGGGCACTAACAAAACAAGTGCTATGAAGCAATCGTATCTTTCTGCTCATATGGGTGATACGATGAGAAGTAGGTAAAATAATACTTAATTATTATTTATTGTAGAGTTTGTTTGGTGTATATGAAGTGATTTGTAATAACTTATACAGGAAAATTTTGAATCAGAAAGTAGATGCAGCTGGTGGACAAAATAGCTTTTCATGGCTAATGAAAAATACTGGATAGGAACAAAACAGAATATATCTCACTACTACTCAGACATATGTGGTTGCATGCATAAAGAAACTTAACGAACCTGTTGTATCGGCTTAGAATGCTTCGCAGGATTTATGCATTCTGTAGCTCCAAAAGACAGAGCTAAACCAAACTTGTTTTCATTAATATCTATTCCAATAATTCTTCTAGCACCAGCTATTCTGCATCCCATTATGGCTGCTAATCCAACTGCTCCAAGACCCCAAACAGCACATATACTGTCTTTCTCAACTTCTGAATATTAACATCATAAACCGAGTTGCAAAAACATTGTTACTAGCAGTATTAAAGACAGCTCCATAACCCGTGCTTATGCCACAACCCAAAAGGCCAACTTTATTCAATGGGGCATTTTTATCAATTTTTGCTAAGCTAATTTCAGGTAGCACTGTGTATTCACTGAAAGTGCTACAGCCCATGAAGTGATGCACTTGTCTACCACGACATTTGAAACGAACAGATCCATCAGGCATGAGGCCTTTTCCTTGCGTTTCCCTACAAAGCATTGAATTAACTGAAATGTTTACCTTATCTTTGAGCATAAATTCGTTTTCTTAGATAGACAAAATTTGCATTGATTACATTGTGGAATGTATAGTGGAATGACGTGGTCTCCTGGAACAACAGACGATACACCTTCCCCAACGCTTTCCACAACACCTGCACCTTCATGTCCAAGAATGACAGGAAACACTCCCTCCGGATCATGACCACTCAAAGTATATGCATCTGTATGACAAACTCCAGAAGAATGAATCTTGATCCTCACTTCCCCACTTGATGGAGGAGCAACTTCAACCTCTTCAATCACTAGCGGTTTACTTGGTTCCCAAGCAACAGCAGCTTGACAGATAATAGGCTATAACGTCGTTATATGTAAATAAAATCTACCTCGTTGACACAACTTTTATACATCATTAATTACTGAAATTGCTCGAGCAAACGTACCTACAGTCGAAATGTACCGACAAATTAAAAAGTAGTAGTAGATAAGCGCGGAACAAGAACTAACTAGGAAGAATTATCAAGTTAACGACTAAACTATGAAACCAACACTGTATGACATGAAAAGTATGATGGCCACATAGCACGGAAGCTTTACATAATGTGCGTTTTGTTGTTTCAGGTTACTTTATATCAACGCTGAATCGAAGGTTTGTGTGAATGACACCATCACATTACGATAGTAGAATAATTCATAGCATTAGTGTATGTATAACTGTCTGGTTATCTACATAATTCTAGTGTCTCTTGGATGATATATATATATATATATATATATATATATATATATATATATATATATATATATTTCTTTGTAGTCATTTGCTTTTGTAACGGAATCCAAGTGATTCGAGAATATATCCGTTACAAATCGGGAATGATCAAACGTGCCCAACTTTACGCGTCAACGAGTAATCCCAAATGTCAACATATTTCAATATAATCAATACCCAAACAACCAATAAAGGGGATATAAAGGCTAAGGAGTTAGAAATTAATTAAGGTAACACCTGTACAGCCGTGATTGTGCACACACAAAGTTTTTTAAAGATATTTGAGGAATTTCATCACCTAGGGTATCAGTTCATTTCTTATCATTTTATGGAGAGTCATATGGAAGGAGAGGTTAATTAGCAATATGGAGTGCTTGAACTTAAGATCAATATATGGATTTTGGTATTCTTGAACTGATGTCAATTTGCAGTCAAGAACTAATTCCAACTCTAAATCCTATCTGACAACGAGCTCATAGCATTGTCCATTGAGGAGATTACTGAGCACATGCAGGTCAATACCCTTAAGTTGATAGGCAACGCTCCTAGGGTATCGTCCACTGATGGAGGTTGCGAGCACTTGAAGGTCATACTGTCGCAAAATGATTGGTGCGTCCCATCGACAATTCGTGAACATTTTCAGAAGCGGTCAAATCAAGACATTTTTAGATTTGAATTGAGTTCAGCCACACTGTCTGATAACGTTCATTCTTCAAGTAACGAAGACGATTCCATCGTGATGATGCATGATAGAGGACGAATCTTCAATGATATTATGTTATCTCGAAGATTTACAAGTTGGGACAATTTTGAGACCTGTTTGAAAGAAGTACATAAGGTAATATGACCTCTGTGGTTAATAATTATTTTTTTAGTATACGCATACTAAGTACGTTATGTCAGTATGCAAAAAGAACAATGATGATCCAACTCTAAAGTACCTTTTCGTGAGATATGTCTGTACATATGGACGTAAACGCAATTCGTCACCGGTGCGTTACCTCGATAACTTGTAATTTGTGTTATGAACGGTGAAATCGAGACTTTAGGTGATTGGTCCACGTTCACCCTCAAATAACGAAAGTGATTTTACCCCTATAGCGCTAAACAAATCCCCAAAATAAATAGCTCGTTAAGTTTTCGACATTCGATTCTCACCACATGTTTTAATGAACTTGTAGTGGCATTGGACCATAACCACACTATCCTCAAAGCTGAATACGAGATTACTCGGAAAATAGATATTCAATATTTAACGCGAAGAAATACCTAACGATGGAGAAGGCGCGAATAATGAACTGAATGAATTAGGGTTGATCGAACGGCATGGTTCGGCCATGCAGGCGTGGCCTCTGCTGAATGTTACCTTATATCTTCTATTCATATTAAATATATTGTTCTTTTTCTAGCCTAACCTTGTTCTACATCATGTATTGGTAATTGATACGATACAATGAGTTGGTGTAGTCGATGGTGTGACTTCCACGTAAGATCTTATGGATTAGGCAGTTATATCATGACAAATCTACAAATTTAGGATTAGGTCTATTAATAAAGCAGTACTAATATCATAGTAGACCATAAATTCTACATTGGTAAGCACGACTAAAGAAACGCAACCTATTATTGTTAATCCTTATTTCCACTTTAACTTTCTCGATTGATTTTATATTCATGTTAACCCAGTATTCTAATAGTCCCCTGAATAATACTCACATGCATTATCGTAATGTTATATTGATTAGTTCTCATGACATCCTAGCTCAGTCGATAAAAACTGGTCGGCTATATAAACTAATTAGCTTCGATGGTTCGTTAACAAGCTTTAATAGCATTTACCTGCTTCAGCGACATAAACTTGTTTAAACATCAAGCTCTAGCAAATATGACCTGTAAATAGCGTAAATATACATTGGCTAACAATGCAATCAAGGATTGAATAGTTATCTGGATCTAATTCTTAGTGTTTCCGCTTAACACATCCTGTTTTAAACTATGCACTATCCTTTTCTTCCGACCACTGCCTGCCTAATTTCATATTCTCGAGTTCCATTGCCAAACAACAAGGATAACACTTCTCTAAAAACATACGGTGAGTTTCAGCCATAAGTTTCCTGCAATCATAAGGTCATTTTAGATGGCTCGTTCAATGGCTGACACAATTATCTGGATTCATTCGATTGTTTTGATCTGAGCGAGTGGCAACAACATCAATCACCCTGGAATTAATTGCCATACTGCATGTTTTATTGTGGATACTTTTGGATCATTACTCCTCACGAATGGCGTTATATATGTCGTCCACTGAATAATCTAATTTTCAAAAATAATCCAGGCGAGTTCAACTATTTTACTGGATGATTTTTCTGTACTTAACATGTATATGTTTTCCAGTTGTGTTTGCCACATATTTATAATTATCTTTAGGCTAAATGCAGTAACTTCTTATAGAATGTTTATAACGCATCATATTCCTGCCTGAAGTTTCACAAGCAGTCTAAACTTTAAAATTACTTGTCTGGTCATGTTCATTATTTTTAAATCGTCATATACGTCAACAACCTGCATGTTAACCTGGTTCATACATACGTTACACTATATCTCCATGTCTTCTAAATTTAGAAATCATCTGGATCGCCTCTAACATTTATTAATAAACCCATCATAGTCGTTGTTGCTAATCGTATTTGGATTTATGGATTGGTTTATCATATTAGCAGTCTAAAATGCAAACATAATTTAGATAATAAGATTAAAAATTTAGGTACTATCAACTGCACTAGTAAAATTACTAAATCCTCAGGTAGTTGTTGGTTGAACAAACTTTTAAAATCTAAACTCCGTAGCCTACTAGAATTAACATTAAACAAATATTTCTGAATTGAAATTTATAATTAAATTAGGCGTCTCGGATTCTTTAACGTTATAAATTTCTGATAATTTTGAATCACCTAAAGCGACAATGCCTATTTTTCCACTGGCCAATCTTCAATCAACACTATAACTAATTAAACATAATAGTTTCAGGATATCTTCATAAAGCATTGTCATGACTTGACAATCACGTAATATGATTGATAAAATTAATGAAACTATTAACAAAATAGGTCAGCAAATTGACTTATGATTATAACTAGTGTTGTTTTTCTTTTATCTTCATTCACTACAGGTGATTACAGTATGTTTCTCTATCAGTTGCTCATTCAGTAAATATCTCAAAACCTTGTCAGTCTAATTGATGGTTTAGCGACACAATCATGCATGCGAATAATCAGTATAAGCAGTCGAGCAAATCTCCTGCAAACTGAAAACATTAATGTCGAATTTACCCCAACACTGACTAAGGTTCAAGCTATTATCATAGGCATGAGTTGGGAGTGTACTCCCCTTGGTTACAACTTATGTTCTCCCTGATAATCACATGAGCATCACTCACTATTAATCATCTTGTAAAAAATTATTTAACCAAATACACCTTGCAGCACCACATCACTTAGTAATATGACACATAGGTTTAACTAATTTCAATAACGTATAACCACTATATCTTAATTAAATCGTATTCCGCCTTATGATAAACTGCATACTTTCAACTAACTTGTATACTCAATCAGCCGGCAAGTATAGATATAAATAAATAGTCTGCCGCAGATCAGAACATTGAGTCTAGAGCATGTCTCTTACGAATACACTCATGTTTAACGATTTGTTTCTAGCTATCTGTCCAAAATTCACATAATTATCACTCACGTATTTAAATTTTGTTTTGATAACCATTCATGTGTATTAGTAGTATTACTAAATTCTATCACGGTCAGGTAAACATGGGGTTGAGAAAATCTTCCCTTAACTAAATAAACCGTATCAAACTAACTGGAACACTAGTTGGAATTCTTCTCCACGGTAATACTTTTGTTCCTTCAGTTAGCCTACTAATACAGATGCAATTGGAAATCGACTCATATGGACAACTTACCGGCATAATCGTTATTTGATTTCATAAGTTAGACTAAAAGTAGTACTAATATTAACATTTCTACAATATTCATAACTTTAATATTTCTAAACACAAAATACTTACTACTTATACGTTAAGTTATCAACCAACGGCTATTACACACGCATCGTTTTATTATTATTATTATTATTATTGTAATTCCATTTTTTTATAGCTCAAATAATCACTCAAATTTTCATTGTAAGCGTGTTAAGCATGAAGGCAGATATTTTAAAATTATTACATGTATTTCCCGACCAGATGCTGCCGTCTTCTTTTTGATTTATCTTTCAGCTTGTCATCACCCGGAGGATTCTTACTAGTCTTGGTAACCTTCGGCACACTACAGTCCCATCCAATTGGGTATCGAACCAACACCACGTTGATTCTGGTGGGAGAGTAGTGTAGTGGCATTGGACCATAACCACACTATCCTCAAAGCTGAATACGAGATTACTCGGAAAATAGATATTCAATATTTAACGCGAAGAAATACCTAACGATGGAGAAGGCGCGAATAATGAACTGAATGAATTAGGGTTGATCGAACGGCATGGTTCGGCCATGCAGGCGTGGCCTCTGCTGAATGTTACCTTATATCTTCTATTCATATTAAATATATTGTTCTTTTTCTAGCCTAACCTTGTTCTACATCATGTATTGGTAATTGATACGATACAATGAGTTGGTGTAGTCGATGGTGTGACTTCCACGTAAGATCTTATGGATTAGGCAGTTATATCATGACAAATCTACAAATTTAGGATTAGGTCTATTAATAAAGCAGTACTAATATCATAGTAGACCATAAATTCTACAAACTCACCTAGCTGAAGGCGCTCGGTCATGCATCCGCACCAGATCACGAGTGGGAACGCCGTGCTCAACATCTACTGCAATCGCTAGCCAGATTAGATCAGACGATTCTCGATATATTGATAGCCTATCAAATATATCTTCCAATCTCCTCGCTTCTGTCTTTTGATTTCACTTGGTGGATACGCTCC